CAATGTAAACAAAGTAGGTAGTTGAATAATAAGGATATGGCACAAAATCTCACGCGTAATGTCGCTTGGCACACTGTTTCCTGGGGTTTTACTATACGTTTGTGCTATATCCGGACATGGCACAACGTTACGATTACGTTTTAATTTACAGAGCGGATATAGCATAAAATCTAATAAATTATCTTTGTATCAAAGAGGTATTTTTTAATTTCGATCCGTGGTAAATATGTATCGTAAACTGTATTGTTGGATTTACTCATAATCGACTTTTCTTAAAAATGGATATGACACAAACGTATTCTCAGCCGACGTTATTCATAGCTTGCTGTATATTACTATGCACCCACACAAAAATGCTCGATTTTCTCATTTTGATCCACGTGTTGTGGTGGGTGATGTGTTCAAAGTTCACAGCAGCAGAAATTTGAATAAAGGCTCCGCAATTTAATGTATTCCAGCCTCGTGTGATACTGAGAAAGAAAAGATAGTAATAAGACTGTCCCGTTGGCGTAGTGGATAGTACCCCTGCCTTCTACGCCGAGGGTCGTGGGTTCGATTCCCACCGACACAAATGTTTTTAAAGACAATTTTCAAATATTTGTGTTTAGTCTGGGTGTTTTCTATGTATAATATGTATTTATTTACAAAAAAAAAAAAAGAAGTATGTAAGTATTATATCAATTGTCTAGTTCCCATAGTACAAGCTTTGCTTAGTTTGGGGCTAGATGGCGCTGTGTGTCTCGTCCAGGGATATTTATTATTATTTATTTATTATTATACTTTGTATTACATTATGCAGATCACATCATGTACCGTGGTCGTACAGTGGTAGTGTACAGTCAAACTCACGTACAGTAGACACCTGAATTCAATGTAATATACAAGGTACCTACTAGGAAAAGTAGAACGTTCCTTTTAACCAGGAGTTTTGTAGGTATAACAGTGTCTTGACCATGTTTAAAATAGTAATAAAAATATTATAAGTAAAACATAATTTACAAAAACTTCTTTTTGAAATGTTCAACCCTAGGTCCGAGGGTGGGTGACATAGCACGTCGTTACTTTCACATACAGCTGCGGTTGCACCGTTTTAGATGTAGACCTTATTGCGCGCGAAGGAGCGGTGCAAAGTTATCCGAGCGGTAATTGACAGTGTGCTGGGTTGACAAATTTAATTCAAATTTTTTGAAAAGTATAGTCATCTTCTAATATTTCTGTATTAATTTTTTGAACAAACTTACTTTAATACACCTATAAAACGTTTGGTTTTAAGGGTAGAGTTTATTACGTATGCGTGCATTAGGCGAGGAACACACGCAACGTCGGTTTGTGCGTCGTTTGTTCGATTTTCCACCTTATTTTTATACGAATACGGTTTATGTCAAACGATTTGACAGACAACGCAGCGTTGTGCGATGCCGTATGACACAAACCGTATTCATATGCAGGTAGGGTGGAGAATCGAATGAACGACGCACAAACCGACGTTGCGTGTGTTCCTCGCCTTACGTAAAGTATGCGCGGTATAAGAACGGTACAAAATCCAAACTGTCTATTCAGCCTAAGCTTGACTGAACTACCCTGACCTGAGTTTGAGTCCCGGTCAGGGCAGATAATCGTGTACGAAATTGAACAAAGGTGACAGCAGTACTCCATGCAAGATCGGACTTGAGCTTTATAAAGAGTTAGAAGCTGTTCAGGCGTGAAGTACCGCTTGACTTTATTCAGGACGCCCAACTTTCTAGCTGCAATTTGAGCCTTGGACTCGATGGTGGTGCCGAAGTTGAGGTCAGAGGACAGCTCCATGCCAAGGAGTTGAAGAGTGTTGGTCACTGGAACAGATGTACCCCGAAAAGTAGGAGAAAAGGTGAAAGGACTCCTTTTTGCGGAGAAAAGACACGCCTGCGTTTTTGAAGCATTGAAGCTGACGAGATTGTCATCGCCCCACTGGGAGACGTTACTTAACGTCAGGCTCGTACGCTCAATCATAGCCTTTCTCAATCTTTGGATTTCATCACCACTGGCTCCTGCGCCGGACAGATATTTCTCGGTGACAGTACTGTCATCTGCGTACCCAACAATTCCTGAAGATAGAAGGTCATTGATGTGCAGCAGGAAAAGCGTCGCGGAGAGTACAGACCCCTGAGGAACTCCGGCGTCAATAGCCTTGAGGTCAGAGGAGCAGCCGTCTATGACCACTCGGATCGACCGTTCACTCAGGAAGTCAGCCACCCAGCTACTGGAAGCTTGCTCAACAGACTCGCATGCCACACCCTATCGAAGGCCTTTGAAATGTCCAGCGACACTGCTATTGCTTCGCCGTGGTTTTCAATGGCCTCGCCCCAGCAATGCGTTACGTACACTAGAAGATCTCCCGTGGAACGCCCTCGGCGGAAACCATATTGACAATCACTGAGAAGATCATTGTCTTCGAGGTACGAAAGCAGTTTGCAGTTCAGAACTCTTTCCATAGCCTTACAGAGTACGGAAGTGATGGCGATCGGTCGATAGTTGCTAGGGTCGGCACGGCTACCCTTCTTGGGCACAGGTTGCACATTGGCAAGCTTCCAAGATTTTGGTACAATTTTTGACACGAGAGAGAGGCGGTACAAGCGTGTCAGTACAGGAGACAACTCAGGCGCACAATACCTCAACAATCTTGCTGGTATATGCCATCAGGACCACTGGCCTTGTTCACGTCCAGACTGCGAAGGGCTCTACGGACCTCTTTATTGTGCACTGTGATCTCAGACATCAAAGAATCACAGTGAGGTAAGGTGGGTGGATATTTCGAGCCAGCGTCTATACGAGAGTTGCTCGCAAACAGATCGGCAAATAAATTTGCTTTCTCTGCCGCGGTGTGGGCAAGCGACCCATCAGGTTTCTGCATTGGAGGTAGTGAGGGACTGCAGAAGTTGGATTCGACTGATTTCGAAAGGGACCAGAACTGCTTACTACCCGGTGGGTATGATGCAAGCTTTGCCCCAATACGGCTAATATGGTCGAACCAAGCTTTTCGTAGCACCCGTTTGCAATACCTGGCGGTGGCATTATATGCTCTCTTCTTTGCTCGCACTCTTCTCGCTCGCACTTTTCGATCACGAGCTTTTACCCAAGCAGTAAGCGGACTGTTTACGAGCCTCAGCTCGAGCACAGTCCGCATTGAACCAAGGTTGGGCTTTATAACCGAGCGGGATATCGGAGAAAGGAATGAAATATTCCATTCCCTGCCGGATTACAGCTGTGATCGCATCAGCGACATATGAGGGGTCTTCCGAAGAGAAACACATTTGCCGCCACGGGTATGAAGCAAAGAAAGCACGCATCTCGTCCCAGTCTGCTGACTCGTATCGCCATACTCTCCTCGTGCCCCTAGGGGTGTAATCCGGAGGAGAGCAGATGGACACGGATTTCACCACACAGTGGTCGGATGATCCCAGCGGAGCCGAGACCGAAACCGAATGTCTGTGCGGATCAGTTGTCAGCAGAAGGTCCAGGCAATTGGGTGTGTGGTCTGTGATATCTGGTATTCGCGTCGCTTGTTCCACCAGCTGGGTGAGATCTAGCGCCAAAAAAAGTTAGTTAGTTAGTTACTTTGAGTTCCTCTGAAATTCCAGATACTTCCATATAAAGTCAGTAAGCGTCAAAATCATCGATAGCACTGAGTGAGCCATCTGTAAAGGCAACCCGCTCGCCGTCTTCCTAATAATTTGTGTCAAGATCATCATTTCATTCCAATTATCCCGAAAATTCCTGTGATCTTAGCGTTTATTATTCACTAATTAGCATAGAATTCCAGGGATCCAAAATCTTTGCTAATTGGGTTACCCTTAGGTAGGTAGTTATCCCTGTCACTTTTATAAATAAGTACCTAAGTAAAGCAGATATTCCTTTGGGATCTGGGAGCTTCTTGCTTTGTTTCACAGGCGGGTTTCTGCCTGTATTTTCAGCTAATTATTTTAATGATGGAGAACCTATATTTACCAAAGATTGCCCATTCTTGAGCCACTTCCATCAAATTTTTGACGAGGGTGGATATGAAAGGAAGAAGCCTAATATGAACAATAGCCCCTTGATTCAATGTCAAATGTTACAAATTACATAAATAAGTAGTGTATTGAACTTCAGGAGAATATAGAAAAGCCGTGCCCTTGGATACAAAGTTAACAAGTACTCTTGAACAATTTTTCCGAGAGTCTCTTGGCCAAATCGTTGCTATTAAGGTTGCCTGCTAAGATAATTATGATCAACTCTACTGGAAAATTGGAATTGGCAACGAAGAAATTACTTAGTTATGCAGAAAATCTTGTCACCAGTGTAATATATTGTCATTTAAGTATAATGTAGTTTGAAAGTGTATGGCGTCTGTCGCACCCCTCGAACGCGACGAGTTCGCGTGCGTGCCTAAGTGAGTGCATTAACTTTCATACTACGACTACATCCGCATGGCCGCAGCCTCGTGCAGCTGCTATCGGCTGTACCTGACGAATTTGCACCTTTAAAAGTGACGTGCACTACTTTACTTATTATTTTCCACAATATTCTAAATGCGTCCGTTTCGAAACTCTAGGATACCCTGGGATTATAATGTGCACCGTAGAAAGACTTGTAGTATATAAAAAAAGTAAAGAGCTTTAACATAAAGGTGGAGAGAAAATCGTAGTCGCGGTGCATGTCATAAGACCACATAGGTATGGCGTTTTTCATATCAAGGGGTGTGAATGTTTTAAGGGTCTGATAAAAGTCGTGTAGCTTATACGACGTGTGATTTCTTCTTCTTGTTTTCGATTGGGACACCGAGTCGTCCAACGACCCGATGAACCGTCAGAGTTTTTTAACCGCCTTCTACAGTAGCAGGCCTCTGACATGGTTGGTTAACGACCGCCGTCTAACTAACCAAATCAAAGACAGCAACCATCTTGCTTTCAGACAATCAGGTGGTTCAGCCTGCAATGTCGTAAGCAGACTGGCAAAAAAACACAAATATCAATTTTGTGAAGTGACCCACCGGGATCGAACCCGGAACTTTCTTCGTCGCAGACAGACGCACTACCACTACGCCATATCGACTGTTTCGTGTGATAAGTATTAAATACAATCCGTGGCAGTATTTCGCATGCAAAAATGAGTAAACAATTTAAAAATATGTTACCGGTTCTGAGTTCATTTTCGTTACTGGTTCATGATCTATTTCTAAAATTGATTATTCAGAATACACCTGTGCCTCCTAAGTAATGGGGGATTGATTCTCTTTGATCCTCAGACTTGGTCTTTCCTATTTGATGTTTCGTACATAATTAGGTATGGACTGTAGGTAGGTACACCTCCTGCTCAAAGACTCATATCAATAATGAACTTCAAAAATGTTTCTTTCACCTCTCTGGCTTGAAAAAGGCTCTAGGTTTACCGCGTAAAATCAATTAGTCATGGTCCTTAGCAAAAAAATACTGTTTTGCCGGCACAGTTGATGTCGCTTTGCTCAGTGATACTAGGGACCATTGTGAATGATTCCATCCGAGGAAATGAAAAATCCATCCACTGGATTTCAAGATGGCGGACCTTCGTTTTTTTGTATGGCACTAAAAAAATAATTCTTCTGGAGCCCATCGTGTGGGGTATCAAGTGAAAGGGCTAGACGAGACGATTTCAAAAATATATGGTTTTAATACATTTCCATTGTCCTATTATAAAAAAAATCAACTTACATTTTTAAAAGTAGTCAAAACATGCCAAGTTTGAGGTCCAGTAGGTACAAAATGGCTGACATATAGTTTCATAAAAGTATGCCAAATGATCCACCATATCCTCAACTCTAACGTGACGAAAGGAATTTCGAAAATAATAAGATTTAATGTATATTTTGCAATGGAAAGTAGATCATTGGGAACTGCAGTAGGTTAGTAAGAATTGCTTGTGCGCCTCCATAAATGTTTAAGATGCAATTCTCATCATGATTGCTTTTTACACTTAAAGCTAGATTATGATGTGCCGGATCATTTTGAATCTTCGAGCACGGTTGTGCCCCCGCCAAGTCGAGTAAAATGTGGCTTTGCCGTACCACATTTATCTTAAAGCAGTTTCGGCCAAAGTTGAGACCCCTTTAACGATATGTTGGATAAAAATAGAAATATTTAATTCAGCAGATATAGAAGCTCTAAATGGAGTAAAATACTTAAGTTTAAGAATAGAAAAAATAAACTATGTGATTCTATGTGAATACACAGGATTACCATTTTAAATTTACAGCGAAACAGCATTCATTGCAGTTTTAATTGTAGAATCATGTTAGTCTTTAGTGTATAAATATGAAATACAATGATTCTAAAGTTATTTCGTACCAACGACGTCGTGGATTGCACAACGTTTCTGGTGGAGTGGCGGACTTGGCTGTCTTTAATAAAATATATCTTGCAAGTAGTAAGTATATGATTATTTGTTTTTGCAGTTATTTAATTTCGGTCGCTCAAATAGGCCACATTTGAAAACTTTCAGATATAAGGTTATTTTTCTTTGATGATGTGCTTTTAGTATGGGCTGTCAAATATGGCCCATTGGAACGACCGTACTCGTAGTTAATATTTTATGTACGAAAACTCTAATTTTTTTGCGGTAGATGTACCTAATGAGTGGTGAGACTTGCTTTTTTTGAGTTGTGTTTTGATGGTATCTCATATTTTTAAATAAGGCTTTTTTGATCTCACTTCATTCATATACCTAGGTACATGAAATCTAAAAGTGCTTTAGAAGTTTTATGGTCCGTCGATTGAGTAACAGATTTAAGGGAATTGAATGATTTTTTGAAATATTGAATGTTTATTTAATGACTGTTTGGGTCCTTAACACAGGTTTCAAATGTTATCCAAAATATCATTGTTTTGGGCGTCGAAATTGGCCTGAACTGTTTCGAGAGAAACAATTTTATTTAATTTAATCGTTTACTGTAGGAACATACACAAAAACAAATACAGGACAAATACAAAAATAAAAACGGTTCAGCAGGCACTACTTATTTCTAAGATGAATTTTTCTTACAGGCCTACTAAACTGAGATAGCATTGTACTGATAAATCTCACTTTTGTAGAGATTTTCAGTCATTTTATTAATATAACAAAATTAAGGAATATTGGATTGTTGTTCAGTATTTTGGAAAGTCTGATGTCAGAGTTTTTTAACCCAAATTGTTAATAATAAATGCTTTAGACTGTTTCAGAATGTTACAGGAAGTTTGGAAGAAACCGGTTCAGCGAAGCTTCAAGAAAAAGGCATAATAGTTGGCATTGCCTTTGCCCGTTTCATATATGAGAAGGTCGGAGTATGAAAAAAATAATAAGGCTGTATAACGGAAATTGCCTTTGCGCATCGCTTTTATTTTTTAAAAGTATGGGATGGGGTCCATTTACTGACGAGCGTGTTCGAAATTATGGCTGTATAATTTGGAAAGCCTTTGCCTCCATCATTAAAAAGAAGAAAGGCAAGGCTATATAAGCCATACAAGCGTTTTGGCGGGAATTCATTCTAGGGCTAGCTCTCTCATGATATACACGTACCTATAGTAACTTGGGTAAAATCTTTCGATCTAATATTTTGGTTTTGATAAAAATTGTGGAACGTCTAGCAGGCTGGTACTTTGTACGGGCTTAATAGATTTCACAATTTTTGATTAGGAAACAGTCTGTGAGCGTTCTTGGCTGGATCTAAAAAGTTTGGTTAAAATGTTCGCAGATTTACATAGGGTTTAGTTAGTTGGTTCGATCAAGCGACGGGGTGGAATATAAAAAAAACCTGGTCAAGAATCGAACCGCTAGCTAGAAATAAGGGAAATTATTGTGAGATTCAATGACGGGGTGGATTATAAAAAAACCTGGTCTAGTTGAGTTTCGGAATAATTTTCTGCAAATATTTTTCATATTTTGTTTGCATGGACGTGTTCATCTAGGATTCAACTGCATTGTTCTGAGGGTTTGCTTGCGTATCACAAAATTCTGATACAGTAAACTTTCTGAATCATGCTTTTGGATATTTAGGGAAAAAATAGGGCTATAGGGCTTTAGGTAATTAATAGAAAATCGGGCTTTGCCACCCCGTATTTCCATTTTAGATTAGGGTTGATCATTGCACAAACGATCGACGTAGCTTGACGCCATACAAACTGACAGACAATATTATTGACTTCAATATTTTAGACTAGGAAAATCGAGGGGCTATGAGCTAGGTAAACCCAACTAGGATCTATTTTGTAAAATCACAATCGTGGGAACTTCGATTGTTTAAATAGCAAAATATTTCGCGCGGGAAAAGTAAAATTTAGTTTGTAGTCTTCACAAAACGTATGATGAGCTAGGTAAATCTATCTAGGATTTATTTTGTAAAACCAAAATCGTGGGAACTTCGAATATGTTATGTTTCGCGCGGGAAAAGTAAAATTCTGTTGGAAGGTTTTGACAAAATGAAACTTTATAAAAATCTTGAGCTGGGCGGGTACTAGGCTAAAATTTGAGACAATTCACTAAGTAAAATATTCTAAAAGCTATAAAATATAAAATATTTTTGGACAGGTTCGGGAAAGTTCGATTCTTTCTCGTTGTAAAAAAATATTTTTTAGGCGGCTAAAAGTTTGGTAGGCAATATTTTTTATTAAAGAAATCTTTTGGTTTATAGAAACATTTTGTTTGATTGGGAATAGGTATTTAATTTTATTGAAATTTAAATTGGAAGTAGTGGATGGGCTTTTAGGTTACAAAATCAAACTTATCAGAATCTAGAACGGAAAGCGAGATTAAATTAAATATGAATGTTCGGTTCTTTTTGTCGTAAGATTTCTAAGATATTTTAGGTGGCTGATAGCTTGGAAGACAAGTTTATTAAAGTAACTTTCAATTTTCGGGAATAATTTTACTTGGTTGACGAGATTTATTTTTACAGAAAAGCAAAATATAAAAGTAGGGGTTGGTCTTTTCAAGTTACAAAAACGATTTCAGAAGTCGTTTCATACTTAGGCAAAATAAGACAGAATTATTCATAGCTAGACTGAGATTTCGTAAAGTAACTTGTTGAATCAGTTGATAGGGAAAAACAATATTTTATTAGCATACAATATTTTATTATTTCCAAATCAAAAGAAATGATAGCGAACTAAACGACGGGTAGCGCCATCTAGTTGATCCGAAAGGTTTTACATAGGGCTCGCTTTAGGTTCGGATGTTGGTCGGTTTTGATAACAGCGCCATCTCTCGAGACTTGAGAAAGCCGAGATTGATCAGAGTTTTGCAATATTTCCAATTTAATATTGCTTTTAGATAAGAAAAGGGGATTTAAAATCAAACCAGGGAGTCATTGTTAAAAATAATATTTATTTAGTTACCTAAAATTACAAAATAAAGTCAATACTCTCTCAAATAGTTGAAATATTTTTGGAAAAGAAAATAGTAGCAAGATTTTATTTGAAGCAGAATTTTACTTTACAGAGTATAAGATTTCATGGATTAAAATATTAATTTAATCTTTCCAGTTTGAGTTATCATATTCTAATATATTGAATTTATTTAAATACTTACAGAAATTACAATTTATCAAAGATTTCAGGCATGAGCATCACAAAACAAAAGTTGATTTGCCAGCCTATCAGATGTAATTTTGAGAAAAGACAATTTACAAATAGATGAAAGAAATTTTGAATCTATCATAGTGTCCAACTTAAATTCTTATCCGGGTAGTAGAATAAGATTCCAGACTTGTTCTAGATACAGCTAACAAGGTTGCATACTGAGATAAAAATAAAAAATCTCCATAATCTTGAAGTTTCTCTAAGGAGTAATTTGATTATGCTTTTTGTAATCTTATTGGTTTCTTGTTGATATAAATTTACCAGAGAATAAGAACTGGAATCTTCTACTTATAAAACTACTGTTGTGAAAATAGAAACTCAGTAGTAAAGTTTTTCCAAATTCTAAATTTTCGATTTTATGGATAAACCATACATTTTTGGCTTTATATCACTAAATCCTGGAGTGGTCAGGAAGAGGTCGAGGGGTTAAGGCGGTTTGGACCTCTCCGATCTCAATTTGAG